GGGTGGCGAGAAGGGCGAGTGTTGTGTTCTGAAGAACTTGGAGAGCTGGGCTGCTTAAATTCGGAAAAGGCGTAGATACCTGGTCACATAAGGATGGAGGGAAAATGGGTTTACAAAAAGGGTTCACGGTTGAGGTGTTGCGGGTTGGAACGGGTTAATGAACCGGATTAAGGATGTCTAGATGACAGGATTCAACTCTCTGAATACAGGGTAGCATGTCAATGCCAATGGCTTTTGTTTGATTTGATCTTGGGTATCCATGGAGCGCAGAATAGTGCTATGTGTTGTGAGAACAAGGTGAGTGCACCTTAATGGTTATGAACCCGTAGCATCCTCCTTTTCCAACCATAGAGTAACCTACAACCAGCCCTTCTCACATCTCCTTCTCAAAGGCATCATTCAAATACCCAACGAAGCTCTCCCTTAACCTCCCCGCCGCCAACGTCCCCACCGCCTCTAGCCCAATTCCACCTCTATTCAGCGCCACAAACGCCCTCCTATACCTCTGCAACTGCGGCAATCCCACCTTCTTTCCCGGCAACTCCACCTCCAACATCTCCTCCCCCTCTTCCTTAGTTCCACTCCTCGACAACCTCACTGTCCCACCTTCTCCCACCTCAGCTTGCTGCTCCAAAATCCTCTTGACGATATCCTGCGTCTCTTTTTCGAGGACATACAGATAATCGCCGCCGGGATCCTTATCGCGCTGCACCGTCGACTTGTTGGCCCGGATCAGCTTTTGTGGCTTGTTGACGATGACTTCATCCCAGATCTGATCAAATGTTGCTTTGGTATCGGTGGGCGTGTCATCCCAGGTAATGATGAAAAGCGGGGAGTCCCAGCGGGACATGGGGTTGGGTTCCTCGTAGCGGAAGACGAGGTTTTCCCAGTTGGAGCGGGGCGTGTAGGGCTCTTGAAAATCGGTGGGGCTGAGGGTTACGTCTTCAAAGTCCGGGCCGGTGGATTCCTCTTCGAATTGTTTTTGTTGCCAGTTTTGGTGGGATTGTTGGTAAGTTTCGGGGTGGAGGTCGCCGGATTTTGGTGCTGCTCCTGCTGCTGCTGCTGTTGTTGTTGTTGTGGTTGAGGTTGAGATTGTTGTAGGCTCGTCCTTGGTCGTCCCGTTGCCTGCCTTCTGCTCCTCCTCCTGTTGCTCCTGCTGCTCCGACCTCCGTATCCTGGCCTCATTAACCCCCCTCGCCCTCGCCACCGGACACCCGATCTGTACAAGACCAAACGGCGTCTGTACGTTCTTGGCTTCGCAGTAGAGCTGGTACCGCCATCCCTTGATGTAGTTCAACGTGTCGAGAATGACAATGTCCCTGGGAGACAACACGCGCTTAACAGCGCCGTAGAGCGCGGCGCGCGCATCCTTTTCGGAGGCATTGGCGGAGCGTACGTGCGCTGGTGTGTGCGCTGGGTCGAGGTCGTAGACGGACCGCGAAATGGACAGGCTTTGGTCGGAGATCAGGTGCAGGCGGAATTTGGGTGTCGAAGATGAGGAGGACTCGGCGGCGATGCGCTCGGTGAGGTAGTCGTAGAGTTGTGCGGCGCGCGTAGATTTGCCTGAGGTGGGTAGGCCGGTTATGAGGATGAGCTGGAGGACGGGGGGATGGGATGGTTAGCGACGCGACGAAGAGCAGAAGAGGAATGAGCTGGTAGTGAACTTACCGGCATGTTGATAGACTAATCATGGGACTCGTGGTGATTGGATGAGTGACGTCTATAAACCTTCGGTACGTCGTGGAATAGTCGAGATGGTAATCGTCTTTGTGAAAAAGATGTTCGAAGATCCGTCATCGCGGGGTACCTATGGGTTTGCGATTTCTCGATAGCAACTTTCGAGTCTGCCCCACCGAGCTGCTATCATACCTAGAGGTAGTGTAGTGCCATGTCTTGGCATATTTGGACTGCCAACATCCCTGGGATAGCTTTACTGTGGAGTGTATCAAATTTGTCTCTATTGCTTCATGGTTCACCAAGATTATTTGAAAATATTGGAAAGCCCAGCGAGTCAGCTGATTGAGAAAAAGAATCAATCCTAACAGACCAGTTGAAAGCACCCAGTCACTACGCTGGCCCCCTCTTCCGTGTCCGGTCCGGACCCCGGACGAAACGGCGGAGATATGGGGCCGATTTTGTGGAGAACACCCGATCTTAACGTCGAAGTTGCATGAACAGGTTCTCAAAATACAAAAACCCGATTACAAAAACGTTTGTAATTGGTAAGATGGGGAACAGGTAGGGAGTCCAAGCTCAATGCATATAAATTGCGGAGATGGATGGCAAGGAGACACAACATGGCAAGATCTGAGAGGCCGCTGCACTCTGCCTCAACCGATGCGGCGAGTTGCTCAATTACATTCGGACGAGCTGAACTACACCACGGCTGATCTACATACTCGGTTATCTTGCCGATCACGTCATATATTCTGTGGTGTCAAATGTGAAGTTTGTATAGTAACATCTCGATCATCAAGTCAACTTTGTGTTAGTGTAAACTCAAATTTTCAGTGGTTTGGAACTTGAGAAGCACCGTGACAAAATTCAGGGGACTTGGACAGAACATATTGCATGATAGGTCACAAGATGATGCTGATAAAGCAAAGCCTCGGTGAACTTTTTAAGATCACCAACATCAACCAAGGAGGTTGAAGGACCATCATGGTCCTTATCAATTACCGAGATGACTGATCTGTAGCGTCATACTGTGATTATCGAAACCGTCCACACCAGGGTAGATTAAGAGGGCGGATCAAAGGAACTGAATGAATTGTCAAGACTATCAAGTGGATCTTATTTTGACACTATCAGTTCTCTCTTGGTATATTTACAACGGACCGCAGACACCAATGGAGATAGAGTTGCAGCTACGGATTTACCTTCACACCATCTCCACTGAGTCTTTGGTACCCTGCCCATCAAAGGGTAAGGTAACACTACATGGGTGGGTGTACAATCCCAAAAGTTGCCTGCAGGCCAAGCCTTCCAAATAGGCGCTCCAGGGGCTTTTGTATGACCGTAAGAACACCTAGGTAAGGCTTTTTGAGCCACTAATAACAATGATTGGTCAGAAGAAGCGAAAAATTGTCCGGAAAGAGAATGAATGGAAGCCTTACGCTCCAAAGGCGCATTTATATCACCTTGTGGGTATGGCTTATGGAAACACATAGGGCCCTTGTGGCTTCATTCCTCAGTGAACCACAAATCCAGCAATATGGGCAACGAATATGGTCGTCTGATGACGGTGTGTCTATTTCTCGGTTAGCCTCGGTGCTGCTTGAAGCTTGAGCACCCCGCCGTAGTCATGCTTCATGGTATTGTAGAATAATTGCTAAATGTTTCTAAGGCTTGCCATGGAGATTTGATCTTGGTTGACAAAGATAACGAATCCTTATAAGTAGGGTCCAGCTCACACCATGGCCCAGATGGTGTTGTGTAACAGCTGGCGTGCTGGTAAGGGTCTGGGTTCATTGTTCGTTTTTGGGGCAATGAGAGGAGAGCTCCCATATCTCATATTGACTCGTGGAACACACTACTGATGCCCTAATGGGCTGGACAAGGGTTCAGAGACGGGAGGTAAGGCATATTCAACCTGAAATGGTCCAAGATATGCAATGACGGGACGGTTCCAGGTAAATTTAGCTCGATCTTGCAGATGACAGAGATCTAGAGTGTTGGTGAAACCATGCCGGAAAGGTCCCGCACATCAGTAACATTATCGACGGGGGGCGATGCTCAGCCCTTCAAGAAGAAATCCATAGGTAATTGTGAAGAGAACCTACTGGTTTGAAGAGAGATCCGGCTTTCCGTTGCGGGGGATCAGTCAACTGTAGATGCCCCTGATCCCGTCCCATAGTCTACTTGGTGTACCTGCACTGGACAAACAACAGAGTCACTGCCCACTGGCCGAACTGATTTATGCCAAGACCATCAAGCGGGTCCTTGTGGCTCAAGTGGGTCAATATTGCTCTCGCACAGGTAGCCCAAATAGGAAAGGGTAGTCGAGACACAGCCAATGAAGTGACTTTGGCTTTCGACAACATCACTGCAGCTTCAACTTCACTCCCCCAACTTCACCAACTTTACACTCACCAATCGAGCAGCCATGCTATCATCTCTCGCCACGACTCTCACGGCGGATTGGTTTGACCCTGACCGAAGATATCAGCGTAAAATGATACCGTACCAGTCCGGCATGTCATGAGTCCAGTACGGAACTCACTCATCGCCTACGGGGGCGTTCGCGGATGAGACTTGTAGCCATGTCTTGCTCTCTTTTCGACTTTATCAACCTGCCATCATCCTGACCTTCCATGTTCCTGCCAAGTCTTCGGTGAGGCTGTGCGTATTGTTACTGAGCAGGCAAGGCAAACCAGCCCAGCGATTGTCTTTTCACGTCTTCCACGCCTCTACCTAGAGCACCACTCACAGACAGCCGTCACCCTCGCCCCTGTCACCTCCCATCTGAGCATCGCCATAGCCATAGCCCTACGCACAACCGATCGGACGGACATGCTTAGGCTCGGCATGGCTCATCATACCGGCAGCATCACCAAACCTATGTAAAAGGTCGCCAGTCTTCAGACAAGACTTCTCATTGAACATATCGTTCTTCGAGACCTCCTTCAAAGCTCGCTTTGACTTATCAAGTAAAGTTTGGCCTGCCCGTTGACCGGATCCCTTCTTGCATCGGCAGGTCCGTCTTGTCCCACCTTATTCGACAAGCAGCGAACCAGGACGAGTGGCTCGACATAGCGACCTTCCTCTTTGATATAGACCACATCCAATCTTCAGTACGCCTACTCGAACGCCTACTGCTTTCGACCAACTGTACAGGACATCGTACCTTACCAGATTCGGACACAACCGTGGCGTCGAGCTGCCTCTGGCTACTGCAACCATTTCCGCCCTACGCCAGCTGAACACCAAGGCCCAGGCCTATTCGTCACTTTATTGATCAAACCCACTGAACTCGGTGCGGCCCTTCGATAGTTGTGACCATGGTGTTCTGCGGGAAGCCAAGCAAAGGGTGCTCTGTGTGCCGGAAACGTAAGATTCGGGTAAGTCACCACATCTGGTAGCTCCTTCACACCATATCCTTTATCCATATTCCCGGGTCAGAACCATATATACCCAAGAGAGACCTCCGCCCCCACTCCTCCCAGCGGATGAGCAGCCAGATATTTGGAGGCGGCGCTCTAAGACATGCCCCGCAACTCTCTCATCCCATATTATTCGTCATGCCTGCCCTCTAGCTTGCTTTGATTTCATATGCAATGCGCATGTACAGAATATATTGGTTGACATGCATCTAGTGCGATCAGAGAGTACCGGGCTGTGGCCAGTGTCAGAAGCGAAAAGAGGAGTGCCCTGGGTACAGAAACCTTGTCGATCTGATGTTCCGAGATGAGAGTGATCATGTTCGGAACAAAGCCGAGGAAAAGGCTCGAAGACGGCGTCGTCTCTCTGTTAAGACGCCCAGTTCTCCCAGTGATCCGAGATGCTCAATAACACCAGAACGCCGACAAACATCACCATCGTCACTCGTTCCAAGTCCCCAGAGGCCCATGAGCTCGACACCTGAAGCTGCTTGGTCGGACGATGACGACAGTATACCGATGTCGCCCGATTCGGGAAGCTGGCCAGTTACCCCGCCAGTTGCCCTCTTGTATGACCTTTCCCCAAGTTGTCGACAGCAAGGCATTGCCTATTTCTTCTCACGATATGTATCTGTCGAAGAGACGACATGTCACCACAACTTCAGTTTCGTCTTTGACATATGGAAGCCCACATCGATGGCCCACGACCGGCATGTTGACGGCGTCCTTGCCAGTATGACTGCCGTGGGATTGGTTGGTCTCGCAGGCGTCACTCGCTCGCCAGATATGATGGAAGCCGCTTGGAAATCTTACGGGACCGCTCTTCGATTAACAAATCACGCTCTGGAGACACCTATCGAAGCTGTCAAAGACACTACGATGCTCTCGGTGCTTATTCTTGGCCTTTTTGAGCTGATAGCCGAGCATCCATCCCACATGCGGACTGTTGAAGCTTTCCAAGAACACGTTAACGGCGCAGTAGCTCTTGCAAAACTTCGAGGACCCGCGCAGTTTGAAACAAAAGGAGGGGTCAAAATGTTCTCGATGCTTTGCCAACGGGTTGTGTTGAGCTGTTTGCAGTCGAGAGAGCCCATGCCAATGCCGCAACCACTGATTGACTTATGGCATGCAATGCCTCAACCAATTCAACTGAAGGGCTTCGGATGCCTTACGCTCTCGGCGCTACCACTCATGCACAACTTCTTGCAAGTGCGTGCCGACATCCTGAATGGGGCCCTGGTAGACTCAGATAACATCCTAGCGCATCTTTTCAGCATTGATGAGCGATTTGAACAACTGTCGGCCCAATTCTCTCCAGATCTACCGTACAAAACCTTCCGACTGACGAGACACCATCCAGCGGTGCTGAATGGAGTCTGCAATGTCTACTCCACACTATGGGATACTACGCTGTGGAACAGTCTCCGTATGCTCAGGATGGTTTTGTTGGAGACGATCATCTGTGAGATCCAACAGCTTTCACGGAGACTCTGCCTAAAGCCAACATCCGGTCCTTATGCAGACCAGTTCAAAGGCGCAAAGCGCAAGTTGAAGGAAATCCTGGAGGCGATATGCGGCAGTGTACCCCAATTGCTTGGGCTCGTGGATCCCGCAGACGGTAGTGTCGACAATCCATGTTCAACGCCAATATCGAGTGTCGAAGTCCGCGAAACCCCCAGCCCACCAACATCCCCATCAGCCCGGTCATCCGATTCCGGCGGCAGCAGCCAGAGTCCCATGGACCCGGCTAGGGCTCAATGCGCGAGCCTCACCATCCTTCACCCGGTAACACCCGCTTCAACAGACGCAGAAGAGGAGGCTAGCCGCTTTGTGCTTTTAGTATCAGCGACGAGCCCGGTGGTCTGGCCCTTATACATGGTCGGGATGTCATCGGTATGTAACGGGCAGGTGAAGAGCTACGTTGTGGGCAGGCTACGCACACTTTATATGGAGACGGGTGTCAAGCAAGCAGATGCCGTGGCCAACCTGCTTGAAGAACATGAGATCGCCGATGGGGAGGAGGATAGAAATGAGAATAGGGCAGAAGAACATGCGCAATGGTTGCCAGGACTGGGAATAGGACGGGATTGGATGAGTACGGGTCGAATGGAGGAAACACCGCTGTATTTGAGGGTGGTGCAGCAACAACATGAGCTGTTCCATCTTGGTGGGCCGGTAATGATGGAGGATGGGAAAGGAATGATTGATCCCCAGCTGATGTGACATTTGGAGATATGCAAACTTGGATGCAAAGGTACAACACGGATTGAAGAAATTAGATAGCAATCCAACACTGGTTTGGTTGTTAGCTCGAGACCTCGAGTCAAATTCATAAGGCGTTTTAATTTCACATCTTTCAGTTCGGTTTCTTTCCATGATCAAAGCGCCTTCTTACCCTGAATATGCTATTCCGAAACTTTGTATGCTCGGATTGAATCCTTGCAATACGCTTCTGAACCGTACCTAGCCGTTAATCTGATTTTAATGAGGTTTGAAATGATTCGGACTAGATTATGTCCAGTATATCAGGAATACTTACTTAGCTAACAAACAAACCAGAATTGTCTAGGTTGGCTGGACACTCGGTCAAAGGAATAGGTCGAAGTGTCCAAGGACCAAACCGCACCGTCGACAGGTCAAGACGACAAGGAAAGCAACATCAACATAGCAAAAGACCAAACAAAGGTACAAACTCAACAGCAAAGATACCAACGACATGGAAGAGTATGGAAGGACTATGGATGGCCTGATGGAGTATCGGTTTACTGGTGCGCAATTCTCTCCCCAAAGGTATCATATATTCGTTGCAATGTTTTTGTCTTTATCAACGCCTAATGTAAACAAGCCGAAACCAAGCAATTTATGCTTATGACTACTTTTCCATGAGTACCAACGTGCCCAACCAAACTCCAAAAGTTGCTATAATGTGCACAAAACAAACTGACATATCAACCCAAACTACTTTCAAAAAAATCACCATCCATCGAAATTCCCAAACCCTCCCATCTTGGCCTTTTTCCTCACGGGTTCTTCCCACGTATCAACCTCTTCCTCTTCTGCTTTCCTCGTCGTTGTCGTTGTCGTCGTAGCAGCCTTCTTCACAGCCCCCACATCCAGATACTTGCCCACTTTGGGTCCCCCTCCCCCTTCTCCCATCCCTTGTCCCTCCATTGTCCCATCAGCTCTTATCCTCTTCCCCGTCCACGTTGTCCGATCATCCTCTGTGCCTCCCTGTCTCGCCACCTCCCGTTTCCTTTCCTCCTCCCCTTCCTTCTCTTTCTTCTCCTTCATCCACTCCGCAAACGGATCAATTAGGATGATTATATCCTTAATCACAATTTTGTTCAACGGTCGATCCGATCCATCGGTAGCCACATTCTCCATGGCCGTCAGCGTCGTGTCTTGCCCCTCGATCACTTTGGCAAAGATGGTGTGTTTCCTGTCCAGGTGGGAGGCGGGGCGGTAGGTGATGAAGAACTGGGACGAGTTTGTGTTTTTGCCCTTGTTGGCCATGGATACGATTCCGCGGGCGGAATGCGTGTTGGGCCCTTCGAATTCATCCTCGAAATTCTTGCCCCAGATGGAACTACCGCCCCGGCCGGTGCCGGAGGGGTCGCCGCCCTGGATCATAAAGTTGCGGATGGAACGGTGGAAGGCGACGTCGCGGTAGTAGCCCTTTTCAGAGAGGCGGAGGAAGTTCCAGACGGCTTTGGGGGCGAATTCGGGGAGGAATTCGAGGGTGAGCGGGCCCAGATTGGTTTCCATGCGGACGTAGCCTTTGTTCTTGATGCGGTGGGAGGGTTTGAGGAGGTATTGCTCGTCGGATAAGAGGGCGAGGGAGCCGGAGGTGGAGGGGGTCAGACCGGTCGAGGTGAAGGATGCGGCGGTTAGGCCGGTTGTGTAGGTCGCTGCGTTGGCGGGGCGTTTGCGCTCTTGGATTAGGGATTGGCCGCGGGCGATGGCTGTTTTGTTATTGTTGGTGGAAGTGGTGGTAAGGGCTTGGGTGAGACGGTTGACGTCGGCGCCGCCGGCTTGTCGGGCTGCGCGGGCGCGCTCGACGGCTTCCTTGGCGCGGAGCACCTTCTCGCCTACGCGGCCGAGGGCTTCGATGTTGACGCTGCCGCCCTTGCGCTCTTCTTCCTGTTCTTTGGTGAGAATGGCGTCCTGGCCGTCTTGGAGGTATTTGAACTGGCTGAGGTCGCGGCTGGCGGAGACGTTCTGGGGATCTTGGAGGGTGATGATGTCCCTGCGGCCGAACTCTTCATCGTCGACTAGGTCGCGCCACATCTTGGGCTTGATGTTCATGCGCTCGACAGTTTCCCAGGCAAAGACGTTCGCGTAAGAGCCATGGCGAATGGCGACAATGTGGGTGTTGTCGGTGAAGACCTTGAAGGTGACGGGATCGATCAGGTCGCCCTTGTTCTCGTCCGAGTCGGTGGTGTCGCCATTGCGGGCAAAGTTGAGCTTGATCAGATCCTTGGCGGAGAGCGGCTCGCCGGTGACGGGATTCGTCTTGTGTTTTTCGAGCCATGAGCCGATGACTTCGACGTCGAAGATGGTGCCGTCGGGGGTGCAGACGGGGTTCTTGAAGGGTTGGAGACTAGCGGCGCAGAAGTTGAAGGGAAGTTTCTTGAAGTTGGCACCGCGCCGCTGGGCACGCGCACCGGCATTGGCGCCGGTACTGGCGCCGTACGCGTCCGAGGACGACCACTCGGAGTGGGTGATGTATAGTTTATCTGTTCCTTTGCCCATCTTGTCGAGCCGGCGGGTTGGTGATGGTGGTGTTTTGCGACAAAGTCTAGAACTTGGGAAACAAGTTCCAGATCCCGGTCCCTTTACCTAGTGGTGTGGTTACCTTAGCTTTCAACGGCCGAAAAGGTCCCACAGGCCCCAGGCCTTATCTTATCCGCCTGCAGGACATCCATGACATGGAGGTGAGCTTCGTCAGTCGCCCCCACAACCCGCACTGTACCCGGAAGCTGGAACAGTCCCCCAGAACATTGGCCATTGAGGTGCCCGTTTTGGGCCAGTTTTAGAAGCAGCAGGGGACTCGGCCAGTGTGAGCGGTACTGTGCTCATATTAATTGCAACTGAAGCTGTGAGGCTGTGCTGGATGCGGAACAGCACAGGAACCTGGAAGTGCCAGGGAGTTCCTGACACAAGCACACTACTGAAGTACCGTCTACACCTAGTTAGGTAGGTAGTTTTGGAGGGGACACGGCGGCCGAATGGCTCCAGCATCTTGGTTTTGATCGACCTCCAAGCTCCACGACCACTGTTTCAACTCAACTTTTGCCATCTTCCTTTCCCATCCGCCTCCCTCGCGCCTCGATTCCCTTCTCCCTCACTCGCTTTTCTGCACCTTTCGACTTTCAACCATCGACACCTAATTCGTCCCACGAGCTATCGAAGCCGCAAACGTAACCGAGAATAGCGAACCCCATGTTTCGTGACCGAGCCCCGTCCTCTCCTTGACCCATTTCTTCTTCCGGAGACACCAGGAAGAGCAGCAACCTTGGGGGCACTGCTAAACGAACCAACGATTTGTACAAACCGCCACGGTACACCCTACCCTATACGACGGCTGAGAACCGGCAATTCTCTTGAGCAGCTACAATGAGGAGCTGGGCGTATGCCTTCTTCCTCCTGGTGCTGTCCGTATGGACGGTACAGGCCCTGGAGGTGAAACTAGTAAGTAGCAGGCTACACACACATCAATGGTCCTACACTAGACAAGTCAGAAATACTGACAAGTTCTCTTCAATGGCAGGACGAATCCGAAGAGAACCGGCAACGATGTGCAGGCATGTACAGCAAACAGACATGGGATGGCCCGGTCAATCCCTTCATCAGCGTCAAGTTCACAGACTTCGGCTCCGACGCTGGCGATGACCCCATTGTCAGTCTCCTTATCTTTGAGTGGCAGGACTCGGATCTCGTCGGTGTTCTTCCCGAGGGCGCCGACCGTAGGATTGGCATCTGCGAGCCCCAGTATGTTGATGCCGGCTACTGCAACACCACCAACGTGGGCGAGTACATCCTCGCACCCAACGCCACTGCGCTATCCAAGAACATCGTCTTCACCGACGCCATTCATCTCAAGAAGTCAGCTCCAGTCAAGTACCAGATTAAGAACACCGGTTACTATTGCGTGCTCACGGACAAGTACACGGCCGATAGGTATGAGGCCCTTGTCGAGTTCCGGAACGCCTATGGAGAGCTTCCCGCTACGCAGATTCCCAAGTTGCCTTTCTATGGCGGCATTACCATCTTGTACGCCTTGGTGTTGGCGTTCTGGGGCTTCCTCTACTTCCAGCACCGGTCGGATATCTTGGCTGTGCAGAACTACATTACAGCTATCCTCATCTTCCTCGTCGTTGAAATGCTGATGACATGGGGCTTTTATGGTACGTTTCTGCTCGCAGTTTGTTCCCTCTCCCCAAATGATTGCTAACCACCGTTGATCTCAGACTTCCTCAACCGCCACGGCTCGAACGTCGGCTCCCGTGTGCTCCTCATCGTGGTGGCCGTCCTCAACGCTGCGCGCAACTCCTTCTCCTTCTTCCTCCTCCTGATTGTCTGCATGGGCTACGGCGTCGTCAAGCACACCCTCGGCCGCACCATGATCTACGTCCGCTGGCTCGCTATTGCGCACTTCGTCTTCGGTATCGTTTACGCCATTACCGGTCTTCTTGTCAACCCAGACAGCGCTGGCCCCTTTGTTCTACTCATCATCCTTCCTCTGGCCGGTACCCTGACGGCCTTCTATGTGTGGACGCTTAACTCGCTTAGCTGGACACTCAAGGACCTCAAGGAGCGCAAGCAGCATGTTAAGGAGGGCATGTACAGGAAGCTGTGGTGGTGCATTCTCATCTCCATCCTGGTGATCTTTGGTTTCTTCTTCTGGAACAGCTTCTCGTTTGCTCAGGCTAGCGACCCTGGATACGTCCCCTTCCACTGGAAGAGCAGATGGTTCATTCTCGATGGCTGGCCGAACCTTGTTTATTTTGCCGATGTCGCTTTCATTGCGTACGTGTGGCGGCCGACAGCGAACAACAAGCGGTTTGCCATGAGTGACGAGATTGCTCAGGACGATGACGGCATCATCGAATTTTCGAACTTGGATATCGGTGCGCCGGATGATAGTGATGACGAGGAGGCCCAGGTTGGCATGAAGGGAAGGAAGAACCAGAGTGCAAACGGGGGCTCGGATTCGGGTGCTGGCACTAGTCAGCAGCAGTCACGAAATCTTGCTGGCCCAAGCAGCTCATCCCAGCAGCAACAGCAACAACCGAGGAGTCCTAACCCTCAACGTGACTCCATGGATGGAGAGACCATCTTTGCGGTTGGCGAGGATGGCGATAAATTCTCGTCTGACGAGGATAGTGACGAGGAGGGTAATCTAGTGAGAGCCAAGAAGTAGAGGGGCTATCTAATTACGTCAAGTTCAAGTTGGGGAATTAGAATAACTATTACGAGTCTAATTGTATTGACGAGAAACAACCCAAGTGCACTATCGGTTTGTGACTGAGGCAACATGGCCGTGCATCACATGTTTCATCTATCTGTTTTTACACTTGTTCTTGATGGCGTTTCATAAGTGGCTGTATCATTATTTGTTCCACTATTTTATTCTTTTCTTAGAAATCACTCTGTCATTTAGATCAAGAGCGGTACATTAAGTCTAGGCTGGGTGAGGCCGAATGGGAAAAAAGATAATGATAGCCTATTCCATTTCCTTGCGTATAACAGACATGAAAATCTTGCTCATACAGTACAAGCTGACCTGGCTGGGTTCAGGACACAGTTCAAAGACACAACATGCTAGGTAGGTTTTACATGACGACATCCCCTCCAAAACCAACTGGCCTCCTCCTCCCATCATTCTCGGGCACAATGGCCAAAACCTTGTATATCCTCCCCATCCCATTCGGTCCCCGATCCACCAACCGATCCCAGCTCCTCCTCAAATCCTTGACAAACTTGTCCTTTTCTTCTTCATTTCCCCCTTGCGACCGCTTCGCCAACTGCTCAACCCTCTCCCTCCCTCCCATCCCCTCCAACCACCAGGCCTGCTCAACAGGTCCATGCACCTCCACCCCTTCGCTCGCATTCGTCGCCGCCTCCGCAATCGCCGTGAAATCCACATCGGCACTCAAATCCGTCAACCCCGGTTCCGCAAACGGGCTGACGAGGTGATGCTTGCGTATCCCGCGCAGCGAGTTGACGGGGACGCTGCCGTCGCCGGGACCGTAGTCGAGTATCAGCGCCGCGCCGCGGGGTGAGTGTTTGGGGTGGGCAGGAGATCCGCCGATGCGAGTGGCGAAGTCGGAGGCAAACAGGAAAGCGTCGGGACAGATTTCGATGAGGGCGCCGGCTTGGGTGGTGCCGTCGGGGAGGACGGCGAGGGGTTTTTGAGAGGAGGAGGAAGAAGAAGAAGAAGAAGAAGAAGAAGAAGAAGAAGAAGAAGAAGAAGAAGAAGAAGAGGAATAAGATTTGATGGCGCGGTAGCGCGGGGAAAGGTCGGGGAGGTGAAGGGAGTGACGCGTGGGGGAAGGGGATACGGTTAGTTGAAAGTCGGGGGGAGGGGTGAGGTGCGGGTTATGAGAGGCCGGGGTGCGGAGGGTGGTGTGTGTTGAAAAGGGGGGAGTGGGAGAGACGAGGAGTTCTCGCCATTCGAGGATTGGATCTGTGGTGCCGCTTGTCCTGGGCTGTTTGGATTGTTTGGGGCCGGAAGTGGTGATGGTTGCTATGGAGGACGGGGAGGCTGGTTCTGTGGGCGGGACTTGGACTAGTTGGAAGGCGTGGATGGGGAGGGCGTCGAAGAATTCGTGGGCCATTATGAAGGGGGTTTTCTCGGGGTCTGTGGGGGGAGGGCATGGTGTCAGTTGGGGGCTTGACAGATAGGGGAAGACTGGTGGGAAGTGTGAAAGGAGACATAACATACCGTAGGGGATGGACTTGATGGTCTCTGTCCAGACGATGGGAATGTCTCCGTACTTGCAATGACTATGATAGCCAACCTTCGACTCGCTCATGGCAGCGTCCTCGCCGCATAAAAGGTTCTTCTGGGCCATTCTGAGCTGGGGACTGGCTTCGACCATGTAAACAGCATCGATGCTCTTAGCCATCTCTGGGAAGTTTTGTATTGTCTGATGTCGCATAATTAGCACGTTCTTCATGACTTGCGTGAGAATATGGTGAAATGACACAACACTTACCCGAAGCATATCATCCATCAAGGTACCACGACCCGGGCCGACCTCGATCAGCTCGACTCCTTTACTCGGACGACCTTGGGCCAGCCATTCGGTGACATACCAAAGCCCACAAAGTTCACCGAAGACTTGGGAGATCTCGGGCGAAGTGACGAAGTCGCCTTTGACGCCAAACTGGTCACGGTTTTGCTCGGATTTCTCAATGGCGCCGGTGTAGTAACCGCCAATGTCGCCAGTCAGGCACATGCGCATGAAACTGGCCAATGGCACTGGGCCGGTCGCCTGTACTTGATGTCAGAACATTTCCTTGCAATTTTCTGAGGATATTATGAGCCTACCGTGATGGCCTCAGCCAGCTGTTTTGCGAGAGGAGTTGACCATTTTCTCTCATCGTCGTCGTCGCTCAAACGGCGAGCGGTTACTGATAGGCTGCGAGTGTTGTAGTTGGCCAAAGAGGGGGGAGCCCTGTTCCTGAAAGATGGGGTTCTGGGGAACTGTGGTGGTCTCGATAAGATGGTGGCCCGCGGAACGCTCCGCAGCGCACGAGTCACGGCCAAGCGGGTCATGGTGGTGGCCGAATATGTGAGCAATTGAGCTCGACTGTCTGCCTATGAAAAAAGAAGGAGGACGAGGAAGGCTAAAATATTCAAGCTCTCGGTTCAGCGGGTGTTTTCATGCCCTTTCCCCGGCCTCGGTCTGTGATACACCACCACCCTTCAGTTCCTCCCCTCAAGAGCATTTAGTCCCACTCGACAAGAACCGGACCCTAACCCTCTTTGTGTAAGTCGGCGGATCCCTATACGATTTCCATGGACCGCGGATGTGGTCTGTTTTACATGGCTGTTCTATGGGTACCAGAAGTAGTTTATGGCATGATAAGGATATAAAGTCTGTCCATAATGCCCCAGGCCATGTGATAGTCGTTGCCGTTCTGGTAGCACAGTTCATGTCGTGAAAGGGACGAGGTCACATCTCGGAAGTTGCTATCCAAGTGTAGGGGTTAGGGTTGTTAGAGCTGGCCGGGCTTTTGGCTCTGCAGCTACACTACGGGTAGTGTTGCACTGATGGGAGGCCCCTGTCGGCCCACACAAGCTCGCGCCTCACAGTGCGGCCGGGCTCCAAGTCCAACAGGACATTTGTCCATCAATGTCCCCCAACTTGCGCTTGAAACATCGTCATCAACAACTTGAACCTTGTGATCGCATTCAGAACAGCTGCGAGTACCGCAACACAAAACCAACAATTCCATATCATCACCACACAGACAATGGTTCGATATATTCCCGGGTTGACAACAACGGGCGTTACACCGGTTGCGCGCCCAGCAGATCCTCTGACGGATCTGACCCGACTTCTCAACCGCCTTCAACAAACCATCCTGCGCGCTGATGCCGAGCGCGAAGCCAGGCTACGGGCAAGCGAGTATGAAAGAGAGAAGGCGCAAGCAGTATGAAGCCACCCGGGACGTACGCTCTATGCCCAACATGCTAACAGGACAACCGTAGAATATCAACTATGCCCGATCACTCCTCACCAAGTTAGAACAGGAGGCATTGGGGGTCAAAATCCATGTCCGGAAGAACGAGATTCAAACCGATTTGATACGGAAGCGAGAGATTATCGAACAGCTTACGGAGCGCCTGAGTGACTTGGCCGAGATCGCCGCAGCAGAAGAGGCCAGCAGGCATGGAGGGGAGGGTGATAATGGGGAAGATACGTCCGACAGCGAAGATATTCTTGCCGACATAATAGCGACGCCAAGCGAGAGCCTCGATTCCATCAAATCACCCGGTGCGCCTGTACTTGGGGAGGAGGAGGAGGAGCACGGATGGGGCGACGACCAGGACCAGGTAGCAGAGGCAGCACCAAACGCAGAAGAAAAGGAGCAGCAGCCACAAGACCAGGAATTGAATGAGAAGCAGGGGACGGAGGGACCGATGGACGATATAAGGACTCAACAACCCGAACTCCTTTCAGAAAAGCGACCATTTCCTGAAACAACCACCACACAAATAATCCGCCCTCGCCGGCAGCCTAACAATGACAACAATGATGCAGCCAACGAAAAGCCAACAGCACAAACAACATCCTCCTCCCTCCTCCCGCCCTCCACGACAGCAACTTCTTCATCACAGCCAGGAACGATCTCCGCCACCGCCGAAGCCATCCTCGACACCCAGCGGGCCGAGCAAGACGCTCTCTCCGAGTCCATCCTCAAACTTGCCACCGAGCTGAAGGCCTCCTCGCAGGCGTTTTCGTCGTATCTGGAGGAAGATAAAGAAACGCTGGAGAGGGCGGGTGAAGGCATGAATAAGACGGAGCAGGGCATGACCAGGGTCACGGGCAAGATGAGCACGTTGCAGAGGATGACGGAGGGAGAAGGGTGGTGGGGAAGGATGATGTTGTATGCGTATGTTTATGGGTTGATGGTGGTGCTGTTGTTGGTGGTTTTTGTGTTGCCCAAGTTGAGGTTTTGAGGGGGGTTGATGGGTGGTGTGAACTTTGGGGGGGTCACTGAAGCGCTGGAGAGAGAGGGGCAGGTTGGTGGTGTTGGGGAAATAATAATTCAACGCTATGATTAATGGACTAAACTTGGCAGGGTATAATACACCTGAACTAAAGCCGGGATGTTATCGCCCATGTCTCCCTTACTACCCCTTTGCTAATGGGTATCGATCCATAAAGACTGTGTGCAAGCAAAGGTTGAACTCAGACAATACGCGCCTCCCATAACGCCCCTTGTAATTATCCGTCTGTGTTTTCTTATTCATCGACACTTCGATTCTTGCTTCGCTGGACTGGATATATCTCAAATCATGTTTCTCCTGCGCAAGACTTCCCTTCACATGCCTTCCCTTTTCTTGTCGCGATGAATAGGGTTAGAAAACCTGTGTCTCACTGTCCACCACTGGCATCATGCCTACTGTTGCGTTTTCTCCAGAGGCGTCAGCAGTTTGTGTGAGCAGCGTATCTTCTGTCGTTGCCTCTGAAGTCTCCTGCCTGTCATGCTGGGGCGTATGAGGAGACTCAGTGTACTGAGCCTCTTCAAGATGCTGACTTTGGTCGCTCTGATGCTTTTGATCTTGACTCCCTTCCTGTGATGAAGTGGTAGGTTCTTCTCCATGAGTAACTCCAGAGTTGAGTATCAGGGCAGGTTGATCACTCGACATAGACTCGGAGCCGGTGTTGTCTTCTGCCTCGCGAGGCGGAGTTGGCTCCTTGGGGATGTATTCCTGTGGGACCCAGCCAACGGGTTTACCACCCGTCTATGACAAGAGCGAGGTTAGGTCAGTATCACTTTCCCTGCTGGCCTTACTACCACTCGGTATCGTTTGTAAGATGGTGGAAAAGATAAGCACTCACCGGTGGCTGATAAGAAAAGAACTTCGCTCCCAAACTTCCCACGCCCCTGACCAGTCTCTCGTCCCATGGATATCCGACTTTGATCTCAAAAAAGCGTTTGAAGGATTCGTATTCCCGCTGAAAATCACCCGGGGTCTCGGTAAGGCGGTGGAGCTTCGGCATGGTGTCCTTCTTGCTTTTGTAGTACCTGACGCCCACGTGGTATAGATGAGGGAGGGCGTTGGATTCGTACAGCTGCTTGGTGTTAGTTGTTTGATGAAGCTTGAAGGGACAAAGTTGGTTGTGTATGAGACGTTCAAGATGTTGTCAGACGGAAAAGATTTCCTTAGGAAGAAAGCTCACCTTGACCACGTATCTCTCACCAGTGATGCCCATTTCCTCATCATCCCTTGCTAGAATAATGTTGTATTCGAAGAAGTCGGTCGGGTCGAAATAGACGCGGTAGAGGTCTGATTAAACAAAAAATTATCAGTCAACAGTGTTGTATCAAAGATATGTTTGGAATGTAAAATCCCAGGGCCAAACTTACTCTGATTCACAGCCCTATCCTCCTCCTCTACACCCTTTGCAATCTTTCTCTCCAGCCTAGCCTTATTCTTCAAGGCCTTCAGCGTAGCCACATGCGAAAACTCGTCCTCGCGCAGCCGTTTTCTTTCATGGATCGAATCCTCAAGCCAGTCCAAGGAGACGAGATAACATTTCTTGTCCTTTTTGTACGCGCGTGCCAGTGCTTCTTTGACTGTTTCGGATCGTATATGTCAGTACCATGTTCTGATCTTACACTACCATACCAGAGATATTGCCCGTCAAATATGTATGTCATCCTTCTCGCTATGGCATGGTAGCAGAGGAATAACCAGAAAAACTCACCTTTACGACCCTTCTTGTCAAATTCTTCCTTTGTGCAGACAAGATGGGTCACGTCTTCGCTCATCCGCCAGCTGAACGTGCCGGCTCGGAGATTCACCCATCTGGAGATGTTGGTGTCCGTCCATTGGCCGTGGAAGGTGCCGGAGAGGGCTATGTTGAGCCCTTTGAAGATCGGCCTGGGTCGTCCGGTGCCTGCTTTGCCTCTGGGCATTCTGGAGAAGCGGGCGAAGAGTTGATATACCACGCACGGATTCTTGATTTGGGTGAGAAAGATGTTGGATGTAATGATGATAATGATGGAGATGCTGGCAGTAATAGTGAGGCGTGGTGTTTAGGTGAGCCAGTGAAGGATTCGATACCTGGTGATGAATTGGGAAGTGAGCGTAATACAGGGCAGCGTTAGTTTGATCAAGATGAATCCGCAACGGTAGAAGAAGGATCCTGAAGATGAAACTGAGAAAACTGGAAGCTTTATGGTAGAATGGTGGAGAGAAGGAGAGTTATCTGAGTCCACGAGAGTCTTATACGTGATATTTTGAGAGACAAGGAGATGGTGTACAACAGGATCCAGCAAAGTTCAGATGAAAACAATCTATTAGGGCATTCGCAAAATTCAGACGAAAAAAGTTGAGATCTCCAAATACCCAACGGAGTGACATAGTTGAGAGAAAAGTCTACGGAAGGGCGATGACCGAAAATGACAGACACAGATCTCACCTCCTAGTCCCATGTCAGGGTATTTGCGAGCTAGAACTCGTGAGTTCTTCTTGTGAATGGCTTCCAGCGTTCAGTTAGGGTGGAAGTACTGCAACGTAGTCATGATACTTACCGATAAATGTGCCCTTAGCGTGAATATCACCACCGCCCCAAAACACCCCCAACAAACTTATCCGCATCAAAGGGCTTCAAAGGCGGAAATGTCCCAGCAAACCCAACTCCAATACCATCCACTAACGTCTGAATATCCTCAATCTCTCGATCCACCTTTGGATCCCCCAGCTTCCTCAAAACTTCAACATCCTCCTCCACAATCCTCCTCTCCTCCACCGACAGCTTCCTAGCCCTTTCAATCTCCAACGCTTTCAACGCACCCCCAGCAGGTTCCCTTATCCACCTCCTCGTCCTCTCCTCTTTTCTTTCCCCTTGTACTCCTTCCCCATCCCCTTCCACTCTAACCCTCTCATTCCAAAATGCCACCTCCTCCCCCCTCCTGACGACCACTACCCCATCCACTGCGTCACTCTCATCCACAAACCTCGCCGCCTCCACCAACCCCTGATAACTCTCATCATGCACCCTCTTCGGCGTCAGTCTCACAGGTAGTCCCCTCGACCCAGCCTCCGGTAGCCTTTTCCAATACCGGACCAAACATCCCAACCTGCTCACCCCCTCGGGCACCGCCAAGATGGCCACTTTCACTGTATACCCGGCCATTGAGAAAATCTCAACCAGCTTGCAAAAGTCATCTGGATGCCTGCATGCAGATTCCACCAAGACATCAATGCCGGCCTCAGCGGCGTGCTGGCATGCCATCTGCAGCCAGAGGCGGGCGTCCAGCCCTGCCAGAACGGAGGCTTGGGCCGGGGGGAACTGGGCGACGCAAGAGGCGTAGTGAGGGTGGTAGGTCTTGTAGGTGTCGGCTATGAAGTGGGCCGGGGGACGGTGAGAGGGGTGGTAGGCGGTCATGGCGCGGCGGAGGAGGGGCGCTAGGCGGGTCTTGCCGGCGCCGGTTTGGCCGACTATTAGGATGGCGAGGGGGCAGCGACGGGTGGTGGTGGTGTCTTTGGTTGTAGATGCGGTTGGGGAAGGGGGGCTGCTCGGTAGATAGGGTTGTAGTTCGGCGGGGAGGATTTGGGTGGTAAAGATCTCGAGGCGGGCGGAGGGAGTAAGGGTCCAGGAGGTGGGGAAGGTTGTCATGGTTGTTGTTTTGAAGCCAAGTATGAGGGGGGTTGATACGGGGACAAGATTGTTGGAACTGACAATATGAAGAGTTATGTATTGCAATGGAATATTTGAGTCTTCGATGTGGTTCACGATGTGTCAATCAATTGCAGCGACACGGCTCAAGAGTGTTAGCATGTAGATAACAGATCCATATGAGAGTCGAAGTTCACGGACGAGACCGAAAGATCGGACGACGTTCGTCTCTACACCACGACATTGCCGCGATGAAACGTTGAGGCTCAACTTTTGGCAATTGAGGAATGAGGAGTAAGCAGCCAAACGGAGGGATGTCTCACTTTCGGCAACTCATTCCGACCTCACCTCACGTTCTCCCCCACGACAAGACGGGCGTGGGGGTTAAAAGATGGTCGTCATTCGGAAAACAGGGGGTCGCAAAATTGTTGATGTTCTGCAAAAGGAAGTTTCCTGATCGCCATGATGCCTTTTCCTGACATCGAAGTTTACCTACGTTAGATATCTTGGCAGCGAGATCCCTGTGAATCGGAAACCGAGAAAATGGGCACCTCGATCAACACAAAAGCCATTCATCTTTTGGTCTTGGTCAACCATCGCCCCGTTCTCCCCACGATCCAAATCCACTCTCCACCACCCACGCTGCGTCGGCCGCCCTTGGCGCTTTCAATCGGCACGAACTTACACTAGTGTAAAAAAAACTGGAGATCCCGCCTCCTCCCGGAAGGCCACCAACTCCGAAAGCGGAGCGAAGATCAATGGATCATGATGTCAAACAACCGACGATTCAGAACTCTCGCGCCTTCGCCATTAACTTGAAAAGAAACACGCACCGCCATTCCGGAGAGCGGTCGGTGAAAGCTCGCGCATGTTGGATTAGTAAACATCAATATCTGTATATATACAAATCGGTTATCGTCTTGGTCTGAATAAAAAAGGCTTCTTGTTGTCCCCGTCTTGTTGATATCGATCCATTGACATAATCAAATCACCTCGTTCAATCATCACAATTGACAAAATGGCAGTAATCAACCAAGCAGCAGCCAAGCTCCGCGCCCAACTCTTCGAGTCGGATGATCTCATCGTCTGTCCCGGCGTTCAAGATGGTCTCTCCGCGAGGGTTTGTCTTCAGCAGGGTTTCAAGAATCTGTACATGGTAAGTTCGACAAGTTCCCATCGCATGCAATTAGCACCAACTTGTATCTATTCCCCCTAAGCCCTGACTAACAAAACAACTTCTTAACTCCCAGACCGGCGCCGGAACCGCCATCTCCCTCCTAGGCATGCCCGACCTTGGCCTTACCACCGCCGACGACATGGTCCGCCAAGCGTCCATGCTCTCCTCCCTCGACCGCTCCGTGCCCCTAATTGCCGACATCGACACCGGCTTCGGCGGGCCCGTCATGGTTGCCCGGACCGTCGAGCGCTACATCTTGGGTGGTGTAGCCGGCCTCCACCTCGAAGACCAAGTAACCACCAAGCGGTGCGGTCACTTGGGAGGCAAAGAGATGGTGGACGTGGCGACCTTTGTCGCGCGCATCCGTGCGGCCCGCGAAGCGAGGGAGAGACTGGGAAGTGATTTGGTGATCATCGCCCGCACCGACGCGCTTCAGTCCATGGGGTTCGATGAAGCCCTAACTCGCCTCAAGGCCGCCGTGGAAGCCGGCGCGGACGCCGTGTTCTTGGAAGGCGTCAAGGATCGGGAACAGATGGCCAAGTTCACAAAGGCCATGGCCCCAACCCCGTGCTTGATCAATCTCGTTCCTGGAGGACTGACGCCCTTGGTGAACGCCAAAGAAGCGAAGGAGTTGGGGTACAGAATCGCCATCTGGCCGTGCTTTGCCATGACGCATGCGTACTTGGCTTACCAGAAGGCAGCGAAGGAGTTGCTGGAGACGGGGGCGGTGACGGCTGGCTTTACCGAAAAGCAAAAGGGCGAAGGGGAGAGTGCGGAGCAGGTTCCCGGTGGGATTAGAGAGCTTTTTGAGCTTTGCGGGTTGAGTGAGTGCGTGGAGTTCGATAAGAAGATGGGTGGGCAGACGTTTTCGAAGGGGGTTTAAGTTGAGGTTAGTTTACGCGCTGGCGAGATGAGGCATGGAGAAAAGAGTGACTTCAAAATAGTTTAATGATATACCCAAAGTCCTGTGGCAACAATAACACAGTCATAAGATCATGAATAGGCAACGAACGTGAACAGACATGTTTTCCGTGGCTAGCCACAGACGAAATGACAATATATAATATGGGCAGGCTGAAAGACCATGATCTGATCAAAATGTGGGAACAGGGAGGCGTGGAGATATAAATTGTATGTTTATTGTCTCATCCAAATGACAGGCACTGAGCCTGATATCTGCCCGTAACCACGAACTGCATGAACTTGCTAGTAACAACCGAAACCTGACATCAAAGGATCCTAGAAGAAAAGAAAAAAAAAAGATATTAGAACACACTGAAAGTAAAAAAAAGTAAAAAGAAGCCGCTAACATAACACTCCGAAAAACACTGTCTTGACAACAATCTGGTAGTAGAAATCCCCCCCGAAAATGTATTCCTTCCTCAAACGCCTCTGTTAATGTAAACCGTCCGAAGGTAACTTCAAGTTCTTCCACTGAAGCTCTGCCAAGCGCCCAAGCTTGGTATTGCCTTCGACAATGGAGAGATACGCCCGAGCCTCTGGCGCCAGCGCAATGTGTACTGTCAAACCAGACCATCTCCTGAGAGCTAGTACATGGTGGACAACAAGAAAAAGATGAACAAATAAGCGCAAACCCTAACTCCTGGTATGATATGTAGCACGATAACAAGAAGATAAGTAGATGAAAATAACAAAGATGAGAGTGAAGTGGAGAGAGGCCAAAAAGGCGCGATCCAAGTATAGTAGCAGCCGTGGGGCATATGAGCTTTGTAATGCTGATATCTTCGCTTTTGGATCTGTGTCGTTCATTCGTAAGGTAACGCATAGTTTTGCTAAGCAGGGACGCTCCGGGATGTCATTTCTCCACTGCGCCGACGCATGAGATTCTGTTGCTTCTGCTCTTCTTGTTGCTGTGCTTTCGAAGCTGATTCAATCAGACGTAACTTCTTCCTGAGGACCGTAAGTCGGTTGTTGACCATATTGATCACTATGATGATCCATGTTAGTAAAGGCTAGCTTTGTTTTGTACGAGCACGGAAGTTGGCTCACCATTTTGGACGACTTGCTTGTCCTCGTTATTCATCTCGTCTGATAACTCGTTGGCGCCAGTCTTCTCCTCCTTTGATGCGCCAGAAACCTTTCGTTTTGGAAGGTGGTCGTCATCCTGATCCAGAACAGCTTCCAACATACGAATCGCTGTGATGTAAGAAATCTCACATCCAGGGAGATCCTCGTTGGCAATCTCATTGATGGCAGCAGCACGACTCATCTCGATGGCGCGATCGTACATCAGCCTCTCTGCACTGATACCCTCGCTCAAGAATACGCCGACAGTGCTGAGACTGTTCAAAGCGGTCGAGTCGTTCGCATGGTTGTTTGGATGACTGGGATGATCTTCAGGTAGTCGCTTTTGTGCCTCGGCCAGCTTGAGTCGAACAATCTCGGCTTTCTCCAAGACTTCATTGAAGCGTGAACGGATCCATTGGACAGCGCCGTTGATCCTGAGAGCCAGGGCCTCCGAGTTTGCTGAATCCCGTGCTGCCGAAGTGATACTATTGGTCGACTCAACCTTGTTCTTCCGTGACCACCAGAGACTGGCGATATCCATCGACTTGGCCAGAAGAGAGAGCGCCTTGACATACAGAACCAGCGCCTCTTCGGATAACGAGACGATAGCTTCGGCTGTAAGCCCATCCTCCTCCGCCGATTTTTCAATGGGCGCACCGCCAAGACCATGGTCCATCGAGGGAGCGAGCGGGACAAGCTGCTTGTACTTGACTTCGGCAAATCCGTACACGACATCGCTCCGTGTTGCGTGATCCTCTATGCACTGGGCCACACGGGAGTCTTCGTCCACGGGGGTGCCTTGCTTCCCATCTGAAATCAAGCCGGTGGGGGTATTAGGGGCTGGATACGTCGGGAATGGGTTGTACATCGGAACAGGAGATGGGCCTTTGCTTAGTAGGTGGGGGGCGTATTTGAATCCGAATAACCGCAAGCTTGCATCCTGAATAGCCTTGGATATCACTGAAGTCGCCTTGCTGGGACTCGTGCCAAGTGCCTTGTCGTAGGACCCTTGACGGCTATGACCCTGGGCCAACTGAAGTGCTCTGGAAGGTGGGCTCGGAACTGCGCCACTCGTCGAGGTGGGCGAGCCTTGTTGAGTTGCGCGTCTAACAATTTGCGCTGACTTTGGGGACTGTGGCTGTTGCGGATACATTGATATTTGGTCCGCAAGTGCGTTCACTTCGAGATGCTTCTTGTCCACCAACACATAGTCGCGCTCAAACGCGATATCCTGGGCTGCCCTCTCCTCCTCTGTCATGGGTTTGGTGCCCATACCTCTGGGTTTTGTCCTTGTGACATCATTTGGAGGAGGGTTTGCTTCTCGGACAGGAGCCCTGAGTGAGGCATTTGATGAGCGATGTCGTCGGTCTACATACGAAGATGGACGGGTTGGAGCAGACGTTGATGGTTGAACTTGCGGGCGCTTAATCCCTAGCCCATCAGCAGCTTCCTTTCGAGGAGAATAGCTGAGGCGATCTTCTCTCGGTGGTATCTGGAAGTAGTTTGGTTTACTGATCTCGACGGGCTCGTTAGGGGTCGCTAAAGGCGACGATCGGCGAGGTTTTGGTGAAGAGGGACCAGCCGTCTGAGGAGCACCCTCGCGGTCTGCCAGGTCCTTCCTGAGAGATTGCTTTCGCGAGGGTACGAGCGAGTCTTCCGCCCGACTAACAGGCCTTTCCTCCTTCAAGGACCGGCGACGTGGTGGCTTGGGAATGTCGTCTTCCACAAGTCCTGGAATAGGTTCTGTGACAACAGGATGGTTAAATAGATCTTCAAAGCTTATTCTCTCCACCGGGTTCTTCTTCAAGAGAGCGCGGATGAGGCCTTTCATCTCTTGGCTAACCACACTCTCCCTTGTGAACTTGATCACATCGCCCGATGATTCGATTTTCCTCAAAAGTTCCACATGATTGCTGGCTTTGAACGGCGGCCTTCCGGTTACCATTTCGTACAATACCGTGCCCACGGACCACAAATCGGCCTTCGCATCGTACTTCTCATATCGCAAAATTTCTGGAGCCATGTAAAGAGGAGAGCCGCAGAGTGTCTCGGCGAGGGATGTCGACGGCAGCACACGGGCGAAACCAAAATCGGCAAGCTTCAGCATCGGGGCCGAGGCTAGGCCGGCAGCAGGCGTAAAGGAGTCATAGCTGCCGCTCATGATGTGTTTTGCCGTCTTGTTGTTCGCCATCATCTGAGGAGAGGGAAGCAGAAGAAGATTCTGGGGCTTGACGTCTCGATGAACGAAATCCCCAGCGCGCAAAAACTGTAATGCGCTCGCCAACTGTTTCAGAAAGTGGCGAGTCACCACCTCATTCAGGCCGGCGTTCGGATAGACGGGGTATTTTCGCGCAAGGTCGTGCGTATAGGGGTTTGTTATGAGCTTGTCTCGCTTCTTGATGAACAGAGACAAGTCACCGAGCTCGCAATACTCCATGATCAGATTGATATGGGTAGAGGATTCAACGCAGTCATGGAGCGCGACGATATGAGGGTGTCGGAGGGTCTTGAGAATTTGGATCTCCCCGTACAGGTTTTCCTTCAGCTTCTTATTTAGACGGGCAAGCTCAACGGATTTGACAGCAACCAATGCGCCAGTGACCTGTAGGCACGATATGTCAGCAAGCAGCCCAGATCACGGTACGGATGTGAGGTCAAGGCCGTATGGGATGCTGAAAGATCGATCAGGGTGAGGCTGCAGAGTACACTAACCTTATGTCGGCCTAGATAAACCTTTGCAAAGCTTCCTTTTCCTATCTCTTGGTCAATGACAAAGGATCCAATGGCATCGTAGCTCTGCTTCGTCCTCCTCGAAGACGAGGAAGCAGACGTTCGGTCCGCCATGGCTTCCTGGTGTATGTGTTGATGACGGGAAGTCAGTGTAAAGGTAGGTAGCCCAAGGGACTAAACTATTCGGAAGACGTCAACCTCGAGTCTGGCAGGCATGTATACGCCAAATGGTGTGGTACTATCGATCCGGGGTTCAGGTGGTTAGGATGATGAAGACGAGCTCTAGGCAGAAGCAGAGAAGTTTGTATTAATAAGGCCGACAGCGTTCGGTTATGCAATGATGCAGGTGGAGATAATAGGTCGAGGATGTGTCGAAGCCAAAGATGAAACGGCAAATGCGTGGTCGAGGGAAGAGGTTCGAGTACGAAGTACCTTGATGGTTCTTCGAATCTGTTATGCGCCAGGCTTGGGTGGGGATGGCAGATGGACAGCCAAGCGACGATGAGACTGGGTTGAACGAAGAGAGAGTATACGGTGGTATGGGATGGAAGAGGAGGTGCGAAGGGGGGTCGAGCTCAGTACAATCGTTTCAAAGTCTGGAGGAGTCGGAAAGGACGGGATGCCTAGGTGAGCCCGAACGGGTGGCTGATGGAACCGTCGATGCGAAAAAGAGCGGAAGAACGGCAGAACGAACAGGCAGTCGAGCAGCTGAAGTTGATGGAGGAAACGACGGACGGATGAAGGCTCAGGACACAGTAGAATAGGGTCCAAGCTCCGACACCGACACTGTTGTACCTGGACGTCTGCTATCAGTACGGAAGCGTGGTTATTGACAGCTGCTCTTCCTCCACCGCGGCAGACTGACGTCCTACGTCAAGGTCAATGACTCAGACCCGATCGGCCGCAGGCTGGCCTCGTCCGTATCAATCAGTTCGACAACGGCGAGGGTTGCGGTTGGGTTATATCTAGTTGTGCGATTGATATGTATAGGAGGGCGGATTTGTACTAGGTAGCGTCTATGAGAAACGGGTCGAGAGAGCAGTAGGATGACGCGATGGTCGGACCGACATACGGCAGTTGATGCGGAAGCGGCGAAAGTTGGTATGGTGTCGGGTGTATGGATGTGGTATATGGCGATAGATGTTCAAGACGCGATGGATCCCGTCGATGGCGATCGGAACCTGAGGGTGCGAGACCGGAGACAGCGGAGAGGGAGACCGGAGCTGTGACCTTGACTCGGAGGATGGAGAGATGAACGGGCGATATTGGGGGGGGAGAGAGAGAGACGCAAAGGTGGTTCGGTAAAGCCGGCCGAGGGAGGCAATTCTGAAGGGCCCAAGGGCGGTGCTAGTAGGAGATGTTGCGGACGATGAGTGGATGGGGACCTGACGCAACGGGGGGGGAATGGGTGTGGTCCTGTCGTGGGAGTGTCTGGGTGGTCGGTTGGCCGTGGTCGACGGTCGCGGTGATGGGTGATGCGGATCGAGGGACGCCGCAGGAAGGAGTGGGTGGACTGTTGGATGGACAGCGATAAGTGATAGCGCACCAGTACCTCTAAGTGAGGTACCGTATCGGGTACCCAGGCGGTACCGACGTAACAGACACAAGACTGGGGGCGGACGAGCTGTAGATACGTCAACTTAGGTACCTATTTGTGCCCGGAGCGGAGCACGGGAAAGAGTCGTTGCCCGCAGTTCTTTGGTTTATTTGGCAGACTATAAATCGTGATATGCGTGATTCCCAAAGGGGCGAAGACAAAAGACGTTATCTTCAGTCTCGATTTGAAAAGACTGGAGGAAGTTGAGATTAATGGCAGTGAGTGAATGACGAGAGGAGACGGCAAAAGAGGGACGGGAACCTCGATGGGCAGGGCAGCATCAGCCAGATCCAGGTGGCAGCAGAGGGGGGCAGCGTCCCAAGCGACTTGCGAGTGACTACACCTGGAGCTCGTGATGATGTGCAAGGGGACTGGTCCGTGCAGGTGCATTGGAGTCATGATGCCTCGACATGGTCTGCACCAGTCAATGTAGCTCGTGGGTACCCTGCGGTAGCATTCAAGGCCGTCTGCCCAGCTCTTCCGCCTTTCCAGAAGGAGTCAGGTGGGCCCGGGGTACGCAGACGGTACGAGGGCCCTGTTACGCTGCGAGTGGAGTTGCACGTTGCCGGCCCGCCATTGGCCCCAACTCCCGACGCTACCTAGTGTAAAACGGCCTGTCCTTCTGTGGTGATAAGGCACTTGCAGCTTGATAACATCACCGCTTGGAGTGACACTGGACCTCGCTGCGAAGCCTTGAGGCGGGTTTGCTTCTCCACGGATAGGCAGCCTGGAAATCTTGAAAATGATTGGAACCTGTTGTCCGAACACGTTGGAAGGAAGCTCGTAATTAGGTTATAAAGCTGGGTGGGTTCTTCGTTGTCGGTTATGGGATCTCTTAACGGTCAGTCTCCATGTCGAAACGCGTCATGTTGTTGTTGTTCCTGTCATTTACCGCTTGTCTTGCGCCTTTGCGGGCACCGAACCGGACACGAGGCAAAATCACGTAGCGTACTGGCACAAAGTCGCAATTGATGGGCATGTTTAGTCTCGAGCATCAACCCGTCGCTAATATCATCCTGTCTCCATTTCAAGTACGTACAAGGTAATAGCCCGGCTGCCCGGTAGTAGTGTTCCCAAGAGTCATCAGCAAGGACCCTCGATTCAAGACGGGACTTCGGTTGCTTCTAGACGAGACGGGGCTTGGAATTACTCATTTATTCATTGTTCCAAACAATGACAATATCACCAAACTCTAATCATCTTTGACGACACAGGCACTCCAAAAACAATCAACCACACATTCATCCATGGCCACTGTGCGCGTTGTATACACTACTAAGAGTAATAATGACTAGCCAACCGGAACCCAGAATCTCAGGCAGCAGTCCCGCCTGGTTGATCCACAGGCTGCATCAGAATGCGGGCGTGAGCGACTTGCATGAAGCGATCCCAGCCATTGACCTTCTCCCCTCGCAGCCATGGAACATCACCACTCGAGGTCAAGACAGACTAGCAAAGCTAATTCACGCCAGTCGAGACAATCAATATTCGAGTTCTCTTATCACTCCTTTTTCAAAAGAGTCAAGACAGTGTTCATTCATTACAGGCTTATCAATCAGCGCCTCTTCAGTCGGATTATTTCCACAAGAGTCTGTCACAAGATGTGGCGAGTCTCCCTCCAGGTTGCACAAAAAGCAAAGCACCCAAGCAGCAATCCAATGAATAAGCTTTGGGGCTCATGGTACTCTCAAACCAGGATTCCGCGGGCGATAACAACCTCGCTGGCTTGGTAGTTAGCAGAGCACGCTCTTCCCCAAAATAGCTGTGCGCTTTTCTGTTGGCGCACCAGGCTGATCTTGCTCATTCTCGGCGGTCCGGATCGCCAGTTCCAACCAAACATCAAACTGCCAACTCTGCGCAGTAGGCATCCGCAGCGAGGTTCGCTAGACACTGGGGAGTTTTCACTCCTCTTGCCTGGTCGTAGCGATCGAGATTTATCACACAAACTCCTCCTTGCAGCACACAATTCTCCAGGGCGTCGGCGGCCGTGTTGACCCTGTCGACCTTGTGCCTGTTGGCTTGGCTGGACACAACGGGGCACACATCCTACACCAACGACACAAGCACAGGAAGAACCCCAGCCGCCTGTATGTAGGTGGACGTACTCGACGCCTGTGGGGTGCGAGTGAGGCTGTCGTGATGCTGGCCAATCTCCAAGCTCAAAATGGAGCTCGGTTTGATTGCTTTCTCTCTTTGAGACGTGAAGACGTTCACCCACCACCTCCATTATGCAAGGTAACGCATCCAGCACCCCTTATCTGCGGATTCGATAGCGCCGACCAATCAACATGGGCGGTGCAAACGAAAGAGTTGAAACAGGATAGAGACTGGCTGGCCATTGATCTTTTTCGATATCACTTGTGGTTGCGATTTCTCTCTGACCAAACACAACCTAAGAAGGCCCAACACGTCGTCGACACCTCGACTAACGGGCGAGCGTCCCTTTTTTTATTGCGTCTACGGCGCTACGCTACGCTACACAGGAGGTTCACGGGTACGTCGGTTATACCTTAGTAGTCTTGATAAGAAACATCATTACCCCGGACTCGACTTGTCAAGTTTGAAAATCTGACTGACCCTAGACAGATTGGCATGGAGAACGAAAGAGGGCTAAACACAATGGCGCCCAAACAAGCACAAACTCCGAACGAGATGACATTGACAAGCGGATTTCCCCAGATCTCCCTCCCCACGCGCTAAACCCTGTATGTTTGATGTTATTGGCAACCAAACAGGCACTCCAAATACACTACTTTCCCGGCCGCCATTATTAAACACCCATGATTAGCAAGGTCTTTCTTGGCCCATAACATGCGCGGCCTCTATTACTTGGCCCTTTTTTTTCTCTTTCTTTCTTTTCGATATCATCACTTTTAATGCGAACGCGCGGTTCCTGTTCTGCCTTGCGATAAGCGTCTGCATGTACGTTTCTGGCCCACTCGGTTCGAACCCAACTGCACGCCATCTAGCGCAACAATACCTCTCGCAACTTTTTTTTTTTTTGTTCGGACCTTTTGATACTGATTCGGGTTGGAAGCATTGGGTTACTTGGAGAAATGACGAAATGGACGAATAGGACAACGTTTATGGAGGGAATGAGGGGAAGGAAAGGGGAAACTTTGGGTTCTGGAGCGTAGAGGTACACTAGGGACCCTACATGGAGTTGCTTGGTGTATGTAACCACCCACTCTGTTTGGCTGCAGACAACCCGACCCGCCTCGTCCTCATGTGCACTCCTCCACAGTTTTGCCTTGTGTAGCAGCCTGCCAGCAAGCAGCCGGCCATCTTTGTTGTGACGAACGGGAAAGGCAGATTCACTGTTTCCTTCCCGTCGTCCCCTTTTTGTGTTCGTTGGATGTTCGTTGTGAGTTCCATCACCGTCATCATCGTCAACAAAAACCAACCACTAAGAGACATTCAAACACAAGCGTACGGAACGGAACCCTTATCGCCTCTTCCAATTACCTTTCTTCAACCACACGAGTTCATCAATCTTCGTCGTTTCTACTCTCTTTGTACGGTAGATGGTCAATGTCAGTTCAAACACAAAACCCACGGAATCTCGCAACAACAGCCCGATTCGTGAACCCTGAAATTGGCTGTCCCACGAGAATTTGTGCTCCAAGACACCCTTAAACTTGTTACGGCACCGACCATGCCCCGGGCCCATGACTCTTCTCGGATGCGGATGCGAGTTCTAGAAAAGCCGCTACCCGCGACGCCGCCGCCCACCCGCACACCCTTCATTCAGCCCAGCCACTTTTACCACTCACTGCATAGTTAGAAAGCGGTGAGAGAACTTTACAACCACACGTCAAACGGCCGTGTGGGACGGGAAGCAAGGTGAGAGATCCCAGCTTCAAGGCGTGTGGTGAGGTGAGTGAGTGGGTGCCGAACAGGTTCACTTGTACTGTCATGCATCGTCGGGCACCTCAGTAGGTACATATGGTGGTGCATGACGTTACTGTATGATTTATGCTTATCGGGTTATGTACAATCCAGTACTGGTTTGTTTGTTCCTTAGTTCAGTTCTTCGGTTTAACAGGGGAGATCTAGAGCTCTTACTATAGGCCTGCAAAGAGAGAAACTGGCCGCCGTTTGAAGCGTCAGGGATAATACATAGGTAGCCAGGGTTGAAAACGCGCCAGAAGCCTTCTTATCCTGCTCTCCGTCTTCACCCATAGCCTTCAAAGACTGAACGATATGAGACAGCAGTCCCCTACGGCACGGTCCGCTCGAAAGTCGAATGCTTTTCCGTTTTAGTATTCCGAGTGTGGAAATAGGCATTTTGTTGTACCAAACCAACAAACAAACCAGGTCTGGACTGTATGCAATTCATTCATTTCACGGTCTCGTCCTTGGCTTCGGGAGTCCGAAGATCGGTTTGCCGATCCACATGCTATGAGATCTCGGGAATGAATGACGCGAGTGATGGCGCAAGAGGTACTTACTCTGAGTCGGTAAGCCGGATGAGGCGGTCTTAAGGTACGGTCCATTGTACATCTACACCTAACATGACTACATACTATGGTGAGATGGGTAAGTTTAACCCGTGGATCAGGTCGTCGAACACACAGTGCTCACGAAGCTTTGGCTATGGTGGTCCGTGCAAGATACCTGACAAGGGGGTTTTACTTTTGCTCGCAACCGCAGTATAGTACAGTCAAGTGGTGCAACTGACATCACGATGTGCCAGGGACACTGACAATGTAAGTACCTCTATGAGCTTACTATATTCAAGGGCTTCAGGGCCCTGTCAAGGCGTCATCTACATTTGCTGGGACGAACGAGAATTTCTGGTGCTCGCTCTTTCCCACTTGCTCGCCGTCGCTCTTTCTTGTATGCCCTCCGAACATGAATGAGTCTGGGGAAGGAGCGACGTGAGGGCTCTATCATTTAGGGATGAGCCAGTCTTGCAGTGCTCCAATAAGGGGGGTCTGCCTGTGCTAAGCAAGGTGAATACCTAAGACATGGCCAATTTTAGAATGGGTCGGTCACACTCGGGCCTGGCAAAACCACACACAACTATTGGGCCATCGCCGTTCCATGTCTGGTTCTGTTGCAAGACACTCCGCGGTCGGAGGGCTTGTTCCCGTGGCAACATCAAATCATTTGTTTCGAGGTTTTCTAGATCACTTTACGAGTGGATCTCATCCATATCAAAAAAACAAACATTGCGTTTTGGAACCTATGGTAGAAGTTCAGACAGACGCACACCCGTAGTCTAACAAAGAAGTCGCGCACAGGTACAATTGAACGAAGTAAATCTCCATCGGCATTTTTCTCCCAAACGAACAAGGGCAATCAACAAAGACCCGGCAGCACAACAGACAAGGGTCATGCTCCATGGACACTCGACAAAGACGAGCCGCTTTGAACAGACAGAATGGAAGGAACTCTTGCGAGATAGCTCCAAGGCGTTGAGCCTTATGGTCAATATGGTATCGACGACGATCATGCTGGATGGTGAACATCAACATATAAAGACTCAGGTATCTCGGCTTTTGCTTGGCTTCGTTGTGGGGCACCACCTGATTGCCGTCTGATGCCCCTTGGTGTTGTGGTTCGAGGTCAAGTCTGATATCAAGTTTCTTGTAGAGAGTACCGTATACAGAGAAGGAGCGATGGAGAGCAAGTGAACCACGAACGAAGCAGTCGAACCGCTCGGTCGCCCCTACTTCACCTGGAATACCCGATTCGGGTTCTAGGCTCACCTGTCTTGTTTCTTGCCATCGAATGCAGACAGACAATGGATGGAACCAGTTCATGCGCAGCTTCAATTTAGTTGGATACATTTGTCCTCCACCATATCTGTGGACATCCCGAAGACCATCAAGCAACCATCCTTCACCCGTCCGAGTTGACTGAAGCTCGACAATTCCAACTCCTGGAGACGACAATGTCCCCGGCGGACCTGTGACCGACCGGATGAACCCATAGTAAGAGGGGGGAGACAATATCAAGGTCGATCAACAGTCTGGTCTCACCTTAGAATTGTCCTCTGCCTTTATGTATCGCTTAACCCTCGACTTCGCCATTTTTATATTTAGAGTATGGTCTCTGTACAAGGCGTCACGCGGTGATCAGGGGCCGACAAGTTCATTGTTGTGCCACGGTAACTCATAAAGAAACTCGCCGAGTCCCATGGTCAGTCAGGGGTGAGTTTGTTCAAAGCCTTGCCTGGTGTGCCGTCCTGATTCTTTGAACCTGCCCCTTGCCAAGTGACTCCCTCATTCCCAACTAGTGGTATGTCCATGTCTATTTGCTTGCCCGTGATCATTCAAACGAAGGGAATGTCTTTGGAGCTACCTTGTAATCGGCAACATCCTGCTATAACCAAACTACACCCTTTTGTCCTCCCTTCAAGAAGTGGCCAAAGTAGATCACCCGACCCGACTATTCAGCCACTCGAGGCGTCACGCATTCTTGGTTATTCATCACTTCTTTGGGAGATATAAAGACACTTTGGCACTTCCTCCCATCCGTGTCTCTTGGTCCCTGTTTCTGTTGCTCTAGCAAGTTTCTCCATCAACTCTGTACACTCCCTAGACCCATCTGTCACCTAACCAGAACTCTTCCGACTTGACTCTTCTTTACTATCTGTCTACTGTCTTTTCGAAACACTCTCAACATATACGCCGCAAACAACAAGCAACTATAGGAACGAACTAAGAAGGAAAACCAGAAACTCGTCAAACCACCTATTCAGCATTTCGAATTTGAATAAGCGTCGGATGAGAACTCGACCTCGACGATGAGGTTCACAGTCAACAACAACGCCCTACTTGTGGCCGTTAGCATCATCACAAGCATCACAGGAACAGGAAGGGTATCAGCCCACCCAACCGACGATAAACTCGTCCAAAGCATGGTGGCGAGCCACATCCTAGAAGGGAGACTTAACACGAAGAGTCAATGTGGTTATTTGTAAGTGGTTTTTTTTCATTTCGTCGTTCCCCGCCTCTCAACTCTTTGCGCTTCTTCATCATCATCTTCGAACATAACATCCCGCTCTCTCTCTCTTCCCCTTCCCACAACTCCCTTCTCTTCTCCTTTCCTCTTGTTCACCCAATCCCAACCACCCATCAATTAACTAACCCCATTAATTTTTTCCCCCCCTCCAACAGCGCCGACCCCCACAACTGCGTTCCCGCTATCTGCCGCTGTCAAGACGACCGCTACTATGCGCTCAACCGGGACAACCTAAAGGCTGGTAAGCACGGGTGCGACCCGCCCTGGGACAGGTACCCTGGGGGCCCTTGTACGCTGAAGGTGTCTTGCTGCCCGGTGCCAACAAAGTGGGGGAATTACGATGATAATCCTGTTTTGACGTGAGGATGAAAAGAGATGAAAAAACAAGAAAAGGAACTGAAATAGAGATAATGGGGAAAAGAGGGATGGTTGTTGGATATAGAGTGTGGAGATGGCATATTGGCGATGAGGGGATATAAAAGGGAAGGAAACATGACGGGATGGGCATGAGGAGAATGAGATTGACGGAAAAGGCGAATGAGGCTGAGGCAAGGAAAAGAACGCGAAGGGAAGAGAGGATGAAGAGTGGGAAGAGATACCGCATTGTGAGAAGGGCCGAGGACTGAGAGGAGAGAGGCGTGGGCCGGCCTTAAGCTGGTTATTTGCCTTTTGGATATCCTCGGTTGTTCCTCAAGTTCGCTGTACATATTTGTTTGGATTTTGCTGCTTTCTATTCGCTGCTATATTACATTTCTTCTTATTCTTTTGCGCCAGGCCTATCCTCGGCGCATAGTATTACCAGTTTTCGTCCTATTTAGAGCACTTCTCACACAGCCATCTTGCTCTCTCCAAAACCTAGCCGCCAGACCTACTCAAAACACACTCCTCTTTTGTTCTGCAACAACCTCATCATAAACCCCCGTATCCCAAACGACCAACTTCCCCCTCCTCCTCCAATCCTCATTAAATGCACCATTCCACCCCTCCCACACCTTGTTCAGTTCAACCCCCATCTCCTTCCCCTTTTTGTCTTCCTCAAAGAACTTCTTCAGCGACTCCTCAATCCCTTCAAACCCGACGATATACCTCGGAATCTCCTCCCCCTGTGCACCACCGCCACTAGTGAGACCATCACCACCCCACATCTCCTCCCTCAAGAACTCCACACCATACAACCCATCCTCTTCTTCAGACTTCTTATAAAACCGATCAGCCTCATCCATGTAATCCCTCCTCTCCTCACTCCCGGGCTGCGTATGCAGCGGCGGCTCGCAAGTCAAAGCCCTGGCGCGCAGGGCCGGGTAGGCGAGGTGCGAGCGCCAGGGGGTGGAGTGGCAGGGGGTGAGGAAGAGGGCAAAGAGTTCTTGTTTTTGTAACAAAGAAGAGTCGAGGGAGAGCGAGTCCGGGTGGATGCGCTCGAACTCGGTGCGGAGAAAGGTTATGACGGAGAGCGCGGCGGGTTGATGGAAGAGGGAGAGGTAGATGGCGAGGAGGAGGTTGAGGGAGAGGAGGTTGGCGAGGGAGATTTTGTGGCGGAGGGTTACGGGGCCTGTCGTCGTTGGTGAAGAGGGAGCGGCGGCGTTGCCTTTGGTTTGAGTTGTGGTTGCTGCTGTTGCTGATGTTGCTGGGATGGTGAAGAATTTGAAGACATAGGGAGCGGCTAGGATGTGAAGGATGGGGAGAAGAGGGTAGATGAAGCGGACTTCCTTGTGGGAGATGATGGAAAGAGTCCCGACCATGGACAAAACGGCAAAGGAAAGCGTCTTGAGGATGTTAGACTGGAGGACGGTAAGGGTTTGGGAAGATGATGTTGCCTTGTATAAACCAACGAGCGCAAAGGGGAGGAAGGTGGTTGTGAGTAGAGGGATACCCTGAGAAAGGTAGTAGTGCCATGGCATGTGGCCGTAGAAGACGGCGAGGGACTGAGAGATGTTGAAGTACAGCCATTTGTAGGGCGGGAAGGTCCAATAGCCAAAGTAAAGGCGGTCCGAGATTAGTGATACGGCAAGGACTGCACTACCACAGACGATGATCTCCTTGACTAGAACAAGCAATGTCGATCTGTTGATAGGAGACTCTCCATCAAGTGTCAACCGTGTGACGGTGAGGGTGAGGACTCCGAGCCAGATGAGCAAATTGGTTGGGCGTAGCAAGACGGCAACGGCAGCAAGAATGAGTGAGACTCGGAGGCTGCCCAGGTTGTCCTTGACCTGTAGAGGCTCCTGTTTGTTGGATTTGGCATCCTGAACAAGATCCCAGGGCCAGTAGTAGAGGGCGGCAATGGTCAGAGTAGTCTCCAAGGAGTTCGAGAAAGTCCTTGTGGAGCAATACCATTGCCATGGGTTGAGAACTGTCATCCACAGCTAGAGGCAAAAGTCAAAGGGTTGTCCAAGACATACAATGCATACATGGGCTTGTGACTTACAGCAGTCCATGGGACATTGCTCTCATCGCCAAAGATGGAGGTGGCCAGTTGCCAAGTATAAAAGTCACACAAGGCGGCAAAGACAGACTGAACAAGCTTGGGCAAGGCTTCGAGAACAAACATCTCGAAAGCAGGAGGAAAGAGCGCGGACAGGATCCAGTGGGCAGCCTTGTATGCCAGACCAAAAATGGCCGGATGGAGAGAGGAGCGAAGCTGATGTTGCCATTCCCAGGTCAACCAGGCCCCGCTCTGGTCTCCAAAGGCCATGCTCCATGCTGGTTCGAGAGCCTGGAAGTACTCGTCTGGCTGAAAGAAGGTGCGGAGAATAAGCGCATTGATGAAGCGAAAGACGAAGAGCAAGGTGAGGACGTCGTAAACCTGTGCAGAGACAACATGCCGATGAGGTCTTGTTACTGGCGTTGATGTTTTTGGTGTCTTTACATCTCCAGTGTTAGCTCTCCCAGCCTCGGTGGGCTTGGAGATGGCCGGTTCATCAGGCATGTTTTGACCTGGGAGTGTTGGTCGTGATGCCCGTGGGTGATGTTGAGGTCGACAGGAAGGTACTTTTGTCATGTAGTTAATTGTTAAGGCACGTTTCAGGGGGGGGGGGGGGGGGGTTCAGCCAAAGAGATCCATCCTCATCTTGGCAGTTGGTGATCTGGCATACGCCAGCTGACAGATCTCTCTCCCAATCTCCCTGACAGCCCCCGCGCTTTGATGGAAGGAATGGGGAATCGAAGAGCTACCAGCCCTATCACGCAGCACGGTAATCAGCGCAGCCATGATTGGTTAGCGTCACGGATCGGAGCCCCTCCGTGACAGCACCGATGACGGCGGGGGGGAACCTTGCAGACTGGAGCCGTTCTTCCGTTACTGAGGCTCCGTCTCCCCGTTAAATTTATTTTGTGTTACATACGTACTCATATAGTACACTAGTGGAATCGGCAGTTATAGTATCAAGTTATGTTAGTGCAGTTATACACTACGTCCATAGTCTGTCTACACACTGAGAAATCCTCTCTCGTGGACAGGGATCTTCGAGGAACTCAAGTCAGCAGGAACATGAAGCTCAGGCATATCCCGCATCATCGGCATCCCGTGCTGAGGGCGGCTTCCTTCGGCTTCGATGCGTCCGGCAGCGGCGGCGGCTGCTGTCCACGCGGAGGGTTGGCGGATGTCATGTTCTGCACCCTTCCCTTGTCTTTGCAAAGCGGTGATGCGGACGTTTATCACTTAGAGGTCTAGTGCAGGACGTTTATCACTTAGGGGTCTAGTGCATGCCGCACCCTACCCACGCAGGCCACGCCCACCTCCGTCTCGGACGCAATGAATGGTGGCAAACCATCCGACCAGTGTTGGTGTTACCCATTGTCCACGTTTGCATTACCAGATAGGTACTACCATAGCAAGGTTCCTCGTTGATCCTCGTTGCCTCAGATCTCGCCTTTGTCAGTCGCTCCTTGTTTCGAGTCCAACTTTTCTCAGTACCGCTTCAATTCTTGTCAGCTTTTTTCCATTTCCCGAGTCATTCTCTTCTGTTTCCATCTTAGGTATATCAAGGCCAGACAATTCCAAATTGCTTCCACTTGAATTCTCTGTTCCCAAGTCTTCCTTCATCCTACCTCTGTCAGTCAGTCAGCCAGACTGCCCATCGTTACCTTTACTTTACCACCTCTACAGACACCACCAAAACCACAACCATCATGGCGCCACTCGCTGATACTGCTTCGAACGGCGGTTCTACCCTCTCGCTCGACCACCTCATCACCGGCTCGGACAAGTACCACGCTGCCGCGACCAACGTTGCCATCGCCGCCGAGAACGAGTATGCCGCCCACAACTACCACCCGCTCCCCGTTGTCTTTGCCAAGGCTCAGGGCGTTCATGTGTGGGATCCCGAGGGCAAGCACTACCTTGACTTCCTTTCTGCCTACAGCGCCGTGAACCAGGGCCATTGCCATCCAGAGCTAGTCAAGGCCCTCACGGAACAGGCTTCGCGCCTCACCCTGAGCTCCCGCGCCTTCCATAACGATGTCTTCCCCGTCTGGGCCGCAAAGGTTCGCTCCGTCTTCGGATACGACATGGTGTTGCCCATGAACACCGGCGCCGAGGCGGTCGAGACAGCCATCAAGATTGCGAGAAAGTGGGCGTACAAGGTCAAGGGCGTGCCACATGACAAGGCCCTGGTGTTCAGCGCTGCTGACAACTTCCACGGACGGACGGTAAGTTGTGTCTTAAGCGCCAAGCTGTTCACCCCGATATTCTAACTAAAACTCTTGCAGATGACAGCCATCTCCCTCTCCGTCGATCCCGAGTCGCGTGATAACTATGGCCCTTACGTACCCCAGATCGGCGCCGTTTCCCCTTCGACTGGCAAGACCATCCGCTACAACAACATTGCCGATCTAGAAGAAGTACTAGAGGCGCATGGAAAGGAGACCGCTGCCTTCATCGTGGAACCCATCCAGGGCGAGGCCGGTGTTGTTGTTCCCGACGAGGACTACCTCCAGAAGGTTTCCGCGCTTTGCAAGAAGCACAACGTTCTCTTTATCTGCGACGAGATCCAGACCGGTATTGCCCGCACGGGTCGTATGCTCTGCTCCGACTGGGCCAATATTAAGCCTGATATCATCACCCTGGGCAAGGCCATCTCGGGCGGCATGTACCCCGTCAGCGCTGTTTTGGCTGACAAGGAGGTCATGCTCGTCGTTGAGCCTGGTACTCACGGCTCCACATACGGCGGTAACCCGCTTGGATGTGCGGTATCGCTCCGTGCGCTGGAGCTTGTAGAAGAGGAGGGCCTGGTAGAGAAGGCCGAGAAGCTGGGTCAGATCTTCCGGGAAGGAGTGGAGGCGTTCAAGTCTCCCATTGTTAAGCTCGTTCGCGGTAAGGGACTGTTGAATGCCGTGGTTATTGATGAGTCTGCGGCCGCTGGGCGGACAGCCTGGGATTTGTGCATTTTGTTGAAGGAGAAGGGTGTCCTCGTGAGTAATGTCCGTTCCTCCCGTTGCTGATGATAGTGCTAACCACAAATTCCAGGCAAAACCCACACACGGCAACATCATCCGCTTCGCTCCTCCGCTAGTCATCACCGAGGAGGAGCTACGGGGTGCTATCAAGACCTTCGGAGAGGCCCTGCAGGAGCTCCCAACTGTCACGAAGTCCGAGGGACATTAGTTAATGTTTGAGGAGGATGGAGCGGCGTGTTGCGTTTTCACTCGGCATGCACTGCATTTGTTGTAACCCGGGCGCAACTGGTTTTTCTTCAATGTTCGGATACCCAGGGACTTGCGGATATCAGACTGATTATTGGGAATATCTCTATCATCCTGACCCTTGACGTCAGCGGGTAATGGGAAAAGTTTATATACCACCATGTAACACAGTTAATCACCGGAAGGAACCACCCATGAATCAAACAATACCAAGTGTGTTCACCCTACCTTACACCTTACACTTCCACAAGTCATACAAAACACAACACTCGCGTAGCTAGGCAACTTCGGAGACTCGGCGACCGTCTAACCATACATCGGGTTTTTATGGAATCCTTCTGGAACACCGTGAAGGCCTTTGCATAAGCTCCAAAAGTGAAAAGGAGCTCGGGACGTCGGGCCTGTCAGGCAGTGAACGTGTCACACCCGCTACCAGCGGGCACCTCCGTCTTGCCTACTGAGTTGCTGTTGGCTTCTGGTCTCGTCACTTCCAGACACAGAGCACTGTACAATTGAAACCTGACATAAACGTCATACATCGGACAAAATCGATAGGTGATACCCTTATATCACGAGGCTTGTCTTGTCTTTCGAGGGTTGATATTTCGCTGGGACCGATAGACGGAATTACCTGTTTTCCGTAGAGTTATCTTATTGCTTATCTTGTATAGATTGGAAAAACGGCCACTAATCAAGAATTGGATAATGGGAATAGAACGCTCGACGGAGGATAATAAAAAGTCAGCGTTTAATAGTGCCACATACATACAAGGGATGCAGTAGATCCTCAGTGTCTGTACGTATGAGCCTTGGTATATTCTCCTAACAAAACAAGTCATCGTGGCTTTGAAAGCAAACATTTTCTTCCTAAACATCCCATGGTATCATTTCATAAAAATAAAAAATAATAAAAAAAACCCTCTGTTCGCTCTTCGCTTCCCTCATATGATCATCATCATGCACATCATCCCATCCAGGCACAATCAAAGCATATACCTAAACTCGGGATTCAGATCTCCCAGATCCGCCTTCTCCTCCTCCGTCAACCCTCCATCCCCTTGCATCTTAGCTCTCCTCTTATTCTCCATCGTCACACTAATCGCATACAACAGACACGCCAGCGCTGACAAGCACGTGAAAGAGACACAAATCGCATACCCCATGCGATAGTGATTCTTGGCATCGCTCGCCACAAAGCTGTAGGTCGCAATGATACCGCCAATGTTGCCAAACGCAATCTGCCACGCCGTGCCGATGGCCTTGCGGTGGTGCCCGCCCAAGTTCATGTTGAACCAGCACACAATGATGGGCATCGCACTGTAAGCGCCCATGGCGACGAGAAAGAGGCCGCCGTACTGCACGTTGACGTGTGCTGGGTCGTGCACGGTCATGAGGATGGCGAAACCGGCGATGGCGACGGCGATTCCCAAGATGGCGAACATGAAGCGGTGGCGGAGATAGTCGGAAGCGACGGCGGTGACCATGGCGAACCCAAAGGCGGCGGCCCAGGGCGGGACGGAATGGAGCTGCGTCTGGATGGCCGAGTACTTGTAGGAGCCGATGATGGTCGGGGAGAAGTACGCGTACGAATAGGCGGGGACGATCAGGCCGAGGTACATGATGCCGCCGAGCCAGATGCGGTGGTCGGTCAAAGCCTTGCCGACGTCCCGCAGAGTGATCTTGCGCTCGGCTGCCGAGTGCCCGTGGTCCGCTTGCAGCATGGCCTGGACGTACTCGCGCTCGGCGGGCTTGAGGAAGCGCGCTTCCTCGGGGAAGGCGGGGAAGGTGAAGAAAAAGAGAACGCCCGCTAGGAAAGTGACGCAACCCTCCACGATGAAAATCCAGCGCCAGCCGCGGTAGCCTTGTAAGCGGTCCATCTTGCCAATGGCGGAGGCCAGCAGGCCGCCAAAGGCGCCCGCCAGAGAGGTGGAGGAGAAGAAGAGCGAGTACCGCTTTTGCGCATCGGCGCGCTTGTACCACGAGGCGAGGAGGAAGAAGCAACCGGGGAACATGGAGCACTCGAACACGCCGAGGAAGAAACGGGTGGCTAGTAGACCGCCGTAGTTCTGCACCAGACCCTGGAAGATGGAGACGAGACCGAAGCCGACGCAGCAGATGGACAGCCAGACGCGAGGCGAGAACTTCTTCATCAGGATGTTGCCGGGGATTTCGAGGATGATGTAGGGGACGAAGAAGATGGTTAGGGCCGTGTTGTATTCGACTTTCTCCAGCCCCAAGTCGGCCTCGAGTCCAAAGGAGCGGGCGTTGCCGATGTTGACTCGGTCCAAAAAGGCGAGCAGGTACAGGAAAATGATAAAGGGGATGATGTGTCGGTCGATCTTGCGCACAATGGCCGCCTCGGTGGTGCCCTCGGGCGGCGAGAGAGCAGTTGCGGTCGTGGGGGAGTTCGGACCAACGTCGTAGGAGATGCGGCCGGCCTCGGCGCCCTTGTCGGAGCTGCTGAACCCCGAAGGGTCATGATGGGTCTTCTCCTCGAGGGAGACTGTGAAATCATGTTAGAATGTGACGTGTGTGTGTGAGGTAACGTGAAATAACGTGAAGGAAAAGGGTAAGGATTCAACTTACGATCCTTGATATCGGACATAATTCTTGTCTTACAGCTTCTGGTTCCCGAGCAACATCCACCTAGAACTATGAGAACGGTAAAGGTGAGGGAGGGAAAGGAGGAGGGGAGGGGAGGGAAAGAAGTGTCGTTTATAGGAAGCTGAAGAAGGGGGAGGAGATCTGCGAACGATCGGCCATGCAACGGGGATTCGAGGTTTAAGTACTTGGGTACGGGTCGGACGCGGTTGTCAACATGTATCCAAGACGCACTGCGGACAGACACGGCGGAGGCCGACCGGTCGGGGTCGGTGCAATGCATCAGTGCAGATATGATGGTTGCATCTGGCATGGTACATACATGAGTACATGACTGACCAAGGATCTCTGGCGTCAATCCCCTTCTTTCAAAGTGTTCCATTTCACACGGTCTTCTCGATGGCTCACGTATAATTGGATGAGTGTGACACAACGAACGGACACACTTGGGTGCGCCGGTGGATGGCCGATGGTGACCTGGATCGACGGTGTCGCCTCCACCATTGACCATTGGGAACTCTACCCTAGCCTTTCCCAATCTGTTGTCATTGTTGCATCCACGGTCCGTCCAGTCCACTTGTTTAGACTTTGGGCCCCATCCAGGGGTCCCGACCCCCGACGGACAACTTTCCAGACTGAGGCAAGCTCGGTGTTCGGGAGAGCGTTCCCGGAGGACGGGATTGGAGACGAGGAAAAGGGAAAGGCGGGGTGACTGATGGTATACCTACGATCACTTTTCTTTTGTCGCCTTTGTCACTTTTTGATGTTGTCTCCCCTGGAGCTAACCACCACGACCACCATGACTAAATTCCAGCCTCTCGGCGACTTTTGTGTGTTCAGCCCAATCGAGTTGATGGGGAAGAAAAGCCACTAGAAACGATCCGGACAACTGGAGAAGATGAAGTGTTCGAAAGAGCCGCGGTCGATCTTCTTCTTTCACCTGAATGTTCAAATTATGTATCGGCCTTTGAAGCAATGAACTTGCTCATCTGACCTTTTCTTCAAATGATATTGTCATCCATCGCCCCTCCTCCCCCCCTTCATCACACTTTTGTTCGGTAGATATGCGTCCTCATCTTTCTTCTCCTCCTCATTTCTTATTGCCTGTCGAATGTCTTGTTACTCCTATGCACGTGTACGCAGGTAGTACAGGAAGAAAGGAAGACGCACGCAACCATTCCAACTCCATTCTATCCTTCCATTTCATCAGCTTGCTTCCACGGGAAACTCTTGTGAAACCAAGACATATACACACACACACACAACGAGACGAACGGTAGGCGTCACGCCATTCCCGTTTGACTGTCGCCTGTCGCCTGTCGTTTCTGTTCTACAAGTTTCGCAAGTAAAATCCCGTCTTGTACTCACTTTCTTTCTTTAGAAAAAAGTGTCCCTTCATGTCTCGTCTTCTCGGGGCCGATTCCTCTTTTTGGGGGGGAGTCGGGTTTCTTCCTCCTCCTTTAGGCCCACCACTTACATACAAGTCTGTACATAATATGCAAGCGATTTCGCTTTTACAATAACACAACCCTGGACAGTAAGCTAAAGCTGTTTGACTCGCTCCATGCGTCTTGGCGTACATTTGCTACTATACCGTGTTAGGTAGGTCGATCCCTTGAAGCCTCGGCCCTATCGCGAATGTGGTGACATTTTTCGACAGAAGGAATCGGCATTTGGGATCGTTTATGTCATGGCAACGGAGCCGCAATGTAAGCGTGTGTCGTGTTTAGGTTTGGTAGCGGAGGCGGTGGAGAAAGTGATGATGGACGACGAGGGCGGCCGGGCTGAATGGATGGAGACGGTGACGGTGACGGGGCCGGTACCTTTTGAGCCTCTTGCGGTAGAGATGGTGGAGAAGAGAGCTGAGAGAGAGAGAGAGAGAGAGAGAGAGTCATTGGAGCCAAGAGCGATCTCGGTCTCGACCTGGACTGCTGGGGCTGAAATGGTCGCCGGATATCGGTGAATGAATGCTACGCTGTTGGAGTCATAAAGAGTTCAGACCGTCACATTGCATTTTTCTCGCAAGAATCTCTTGAATTTGCCTTGCTCCAGCAATTTACAAAGAGCGAGAGGTAAGAACGCCAACCATCTCCCGGTTGTCATCACCCACCCACCACACCTCCTCCTCCCCAAGAAATGGCCAAAAGCCGAGACCATTCCTTTGTCTGCCACTCCCGTCCCGTCCTGGGCGACCGACCACTGCACACCCCCTACCCCGCGCCAAGTCCCGAGGTTGGCGCAACGACCCTAGCACATCTGGTTGGTGGGATTTTGCGGGGAAGAAAGATGGACGGGAGTGAGTGATTTGACGCTAGCCTTTCCCGCTTTGTTCTAGCGTGCGTATGTGTCCACCTTTGTGTGTTTTGACGGTCACGGTGTTTGGACTCCGAAATACGGAGTTTAAGAAGCCAACCTCCTGTGTTGTTTGGTTGCTGCCCCTTTTTTTTTTTTTTTGAATTCTTCGATGGATGATCTGCCCCAAAAAAAATTCTTTCTTCTTTTGTCTTTAAAAAAGAAAAATATTATGTGAAGAAAAAGGAGTCATAATGGTGGATCTTTGCAAAAGAAATTTTCATCATGACAGGACAGCTCCGCATGTCAGGTCCCAGACGACTGACTGCTTGT